ATAAAAATAAAGTACTTAAAAATTGAAAATAATACAATCAAAATGAATTTTTGGACATACCAGTAGGGCCCAGTGGTGTGTCTAGACCTGTGCAGGGGCTCCCTCTCTCCAGCTCCCTCCAACCTCTTAGCTTCTGTGAGGCTAACTCACCCAGCAAGCTGCTAAGGACTGATGCGGTGCTGTGAGAAGACCACGTGTAATTATGCGGGTCAGTGGAAAGCTCTAATACTCATGGGGAAAAAAATGAATAACTTTTGGTTTATAGGTCAGTCCTTTGTGACTTTGGTCAGTCTCTGGGAGGCTATTTTATCCTGGCTGTATCACTAAACAGGCAAATAATACTGATGCAGATATTAGGACTACTAATTCATCTCTCAAAACTAAAATTGCAGAGGTTAGCTTCAGGTGAAGTAAGTGAATGGCGAAAGTACTTACACATTATTTGTGGACTTTGTCATTATACCCATTATCTACAGATTCTGCATTTGAATCCTCTTGCTAAAATGTATCTCTAACCTCAAACTCATAGCGAGGCCAACATTCCTTGAAGTTCACATGCTGAGGGTGGGGAGGTGTCCTTCCTGGCTGGGTGGCTGGGGTCTGTAATTCCAGTAATTGGTGCTGCGAAACAGGAGTTCAAGGTCAGCCTGGGCTACAGTGTCAAACCCTGTAAAAAGTTTGTTTATTTATTTATTATTTATATCTTATTTGTATGAGTGTTTTGCCTGCCTGTATCTAAGTGCACCTGTATCATGCGATGCCTGCGGAGGCCAGAAGAGGGCGTCAGATCCCCTGGAACTGGAGTTAGATTATTGTTAACCACCATGTAGATGCTGGGAATCAAACCTGGGTCCTTTGTAAGAGCAGCTGGCACTTCTAACCACTGAGCCATCTCTCCAGCCCCCAAAAGTTGTTTTTGAGTTGTCCAACAAGTGCCCATGTAGAGTGAAATGGCCAAATGGACTCCATTTTACTCTACCTGATTTTTGTTTGCCTGGTGTTTCTGCCCAGCCAGGCGGAGCTCGCATGGAGGCTACACCTGTGGTTCAGGGAGTGCCTTGTTTCCGTAGCACTGGGAAACTTAACAATTAGCTAGGCAGAAGTCCTCTCCCAGCCACACCAGCTGTAATTACCATGTGATGTAGCTATGGTTGTTGGCTTTGCCACTGGCATGGTGTAATTGTGGCTTTAAGCTTTATAAACCCTGCCCTGCTTCTCCTCTGGGTCCGGAGTTGTTCTGGGAGTTAGCCCCCTCTCCACCTCAGGCTGTTATTAAAGGACTCTTAATTCCATCATCACCGTGTGGCGTTCCTCTGTGCCTCTGCTCGCCGTTACAGCTTGTGTGTCCTCCTCTCACTCATTCCTTAGACCTGACTCCCAGTGTGAGGCATTAGGAGGTGTGTCGGGGAGGTAGTTGGTTCATAAAAAGGGTGGTGCCCTCTGGAAGGGATCAGGGCCCCTAGAAAAGGGATTAGGGACCCTCCTCTCTCCACCAAGTGAGGCAGACTGGGAACCAGGAATGAGCCCTCAGCAGATGTGAGTCTGCAAGCCTTTGGTCCTGGACTTCCCAGCATCAGAACAGCTAAAGTTCTGTATCTTGTAAGACAGCCCAGGTATGTATTTTGTAGTAGCAGCTGTCATTAAGCAGCGCACATTCCCAGAGGAGGGTGAGCACAGGGGTGCTCCCTTTTCCTCTTAGTTCTTACCCTGTCATCAAGTGTGCTTCTGGTGGGCTATGGAGTGTCGCCCCGCTCAAATTTCTATGATTTTGGTTAAACCAAAGGTATCCAATCTTTTGGCTTCTCTGGGCCACATAGGACACACAGGGGCATCCAACTCATGGCCTTTGGGTTGCAAGAGCATGAATGTTTATTTTAGGTGACACTGTGACACAAAGTTATCTTCCAAGTTCACACTTGAGAACTGCACAGTCAAGTCATTAAAAAATGTTACAGAGATCTGCCTGTCTCTGCCTCCTGAATGCTGGGATTAAAGGTGTGGGCTACCACACCTGACTTCATTTAAAAATGTTTACACTTATTTATTTGACTGTGTTGCATGCCGAGGTCAGAGGGCAAACTGCAGGAGTCGGTTCTCATAGTCTGACTTTCAAACTCAGGTCGTCAGGCTTGCACCACGTGTTAACAACCATAAACACCTGATATGCTGTTTCCAAACAGAATTGCCTAGAAACAAGGTTTCCTCATGATCGTTTGAGGAAAAGTTTTGAGCAGAGGCTGTCAGGGACCTGCCTGTTCCCCCCAGGGAAACAGAGTTTGGTATTTGCTGCCTCATGTTCATGGTTATTGGACATACCTGCTGCAATGAACCAGAATTAAGCAGACATCAGGATATGTGCCTCTTGGGGGCTGAGTGATGTGCACTGGTCTCGACTTCTTTATAGAGTAGTCAGAGAAGCCTGTTGGGAAGGTGGTGGCAGTCAGGCTGAGACCTAAAGGCTGGGAGCTTGAGAGACGGGAAGAGTGAAGCGGGGACTGCAGGGCCTGGGGCTTCCTGGGACCAGTGTAGTGGGAAGTGATGGGGATGGAGGGAGGGAAGGGTTGATTTCAGCTTGTAATTACAGGTTTGGGAAGTCAAACAGCTGGTCACATCACAGCCAGGAGCAGAGAGAGGCATGCCCACATGCTTGCTGGCTGGTTTCTGCTCAGCTTGATTTCCCCACTCCTACAAGGTGCAGGACACCTGGCCTAGGGAATGGTGCCTCTCACAGTGGGCTGGGTCTTCCCACATCAATTAACGCCATCAAGACAGTCTCCTGCAGACACGCTCACAGGCCAACCCGCTCTAGACACTTCCTCATTGAGACTCTTCCCACGTGACTTTAGCTTCTGCCAAGTTGACAGTTAAAGCCAAACATCACAGCCCCCAAGGGATTTGGGGCTGTACTAAGGAGCCTGTCGTCTCAGTACTCGGGGGTAAAGGCGAGGAAGACTGAGTGTACCTACCAGTGCAGGTTACCAGCCAGGTGGCTGCGCTCAGGCCCTCTCACCTGCCCACCGTTGGGCCAGGGCACAAGGCTGTGGAGAACAGTGGCTACTTTTCTCATTGTTGTGACCTGACACCTTATCTTGCTTCGCAGTTCAAGTCTACACTCTGTCAAGCCAGGGAAGGGATGGGGGCAGGAGCTTGAGGCAGTGGTCACCCTGCATGCACAGTCATGAGGCAGAGATATTAATCCAGGTGCCCATTCAGCCCAGGGTCCCAGCCCACGGACTGGGTCTTCTCTGTTCAGTTAAACTCTGGAAACACCTTCGTAGACAACACTAGAGATGTGTTTCCTAGGAAATTCTGAATCCCATCAAGTCGATAAGATCAACCATCACATGGACCATCCATCACACACCTCCTCCTTCCCAGGGCCTAGTCCAGAGGTGTGACCACCGCTTGGGCATATGGGGCAGCCTGTGTCTGCTGATTCAATATCATGTTCTGTAACTGGGCTACTTGATCTAGTTTACTGAGTGAATAGCTAATATTTATGTCATGTTGCCTTCATGGACTTCTGAGAAGCTGGGGGGCAACAATGGCAACAGGCTTTAAAAGCAGCACCTCACGCTTAGTGTCTAAGAGCTGTTGCTGCTCT